GATTGGAAATTTGATGAAAGCTTTTAAATTTCAAACTTATTGATTATATGAATGGTTTTTCATTTCAAATTCTCTCAATTGTAGAACGATGTCTGCAAGTAACTCAAACAACAACCAATTCTCTTTACGCTCAATTCTCGACAAGGAGAAGTTGAGCGGGCCAAATTTTCTTGATTGGCAAAGAAATTTGCGTATTGTTCTCATGCAAGAACAAAAGGAATACGTCCTTGATGAGGAAATGCCTGACGCTCCCAATGAGGAGGTCACCCAGGCTGCCCTTAACCGATGGCAAAGTGCTAATCGAGATGTCAAATGCATCATGTTGGCCACTATGTCTCCGGACCTTCAAAAGACCTTCTTTGAAAAGGAGACGGCTTTTGAGATCATTTCTGAGCTTCAGAATATGTTTCTAGAGCAGGCCCGAACTGAAAGGTTCAAAACCCACAGGCAAATCCTTGAGAGCAAGCTCAAGATAGGAGAGCCAGTAAGCCCGCATGTTCTTAAATTGATTGGATTATTTGAGAACATGGAAAGGCTAGATGCTAGGTATTCAACCGAGATGGGAATTGACATCATTCTCCACTCGCTGCATAAAGGCTATGATTATGCACATCATGGAGAAAACTCTCACCGAGCTTCATGGTATGTTGAAGCAAGCCGAGAAAACCCTCAAGGATGAGGAAAAGCATGATATGCTCATGGTGAGAAAGGGAAAGCCATTTAAGCGCTCGGGTAAGAAGAAGATCGTTAAAGGGAAAAAGAAAAAATTTCCGCCTAAGTCAAACACTGCCAAGCGCAGCAAGGACAAAAAGGTAGCCTCTTCCGAATCCGATTCCGAATGTTTCTACTGCAAGAAGAAGGGACATTGGAAACGGGACTGCCTCAAATTCAAGGAAGATAAGAAGAAAGGCACCGCTACTTCTTCATCAGGTATTTTTGTTATAGACTTAAACTTCGTTAGCAAAACATCATGGGTATTAGATACCGGATGTGGCTCACACCTTTGTTCCAATGCTCAGGGACTAAGGATAAATAGGATGCTAGAGAAGGGAGAGGTCGAGCTTCGGGTCGGCAATGGAGCAAGGATGTCTGCCGTCTCTGTTGGAACTCTCAGTTTGTTTTTGCCCTCTGGGCTTATTTTAGAACTTGACAATTGTTATCATGTTCCTAGAGTTACCAAAAACATTATTTCAATTTCAGCGTTAGACGCCAAAGGTTTTGAATTTCGAATTAAGAACAATAGTTGTTCATTTTATTTCGATAATGTTTTATATGGTAAGGCATATTCAGAAAATGGTCTTTATGTGCTTTCTCTTGACAAACAAGTTTATAACATTGATGATACCGCCAAAAGGGCTAAGACAATCGAGTCGAATCAAACCTACTTGTGGCATTGTCGTCTTGGCCATATTAACGTCAAACGCATCAAGAAACTTCTACAAGAAGGTGGTCTTGACTCATTCGACTTGGAGTCGTTTGAAAATTGCGAAGGATGTCTATTAGGCAAGATGATAAAACAGCCGTTCTCCAAGTTGGGAGAAAGGGCTAGTGACTTATTAGGTCTAATACACACGGATGTATGTGGACCAATGAGTACACCCGCAAGACAAGGTTACCGATATTTCATCACTTTCACAGACGATTTTAGTAGATATGGCTATGTCTACCTAATGTCGAAAAAATCTGAATCTTTTGAGAAATTAAAAGAATTTCAGAGAGAAGTTGAGAATCAACTTGGCAAGAAAATTAAAGCACTTCGATCAGATCGAGGTGGCGAATATTTGAGCCACGAATTCGACGATCACTTGAAAGAAAATGGTATTCTTTCAGAGTTAACACTTCCTGGAACTCCTCAATGGAACGGAGTATCCGAACGAAGGAATCGAACCTTGTTGGACATGGTTCGATCAATGATGGGTCTTAGTGAACTTCCTATCTCTTTCTGGGGACATGCGCTACAAATTGCAGCACTAACACTGAACTGAGCTCCGTCAAAAGCTGTTGAAAAGACTCCATATGAATTATGGACTAAGAAACCTCCTAGGTTGTCTTTTCTCAAGATTTGGGGATGCGAAGCATATGTTAAACGATTAATTTCGGACAAACTTCACCCCAAATCAGACAAGTGTTTCTTTGTGGGATACCCAGAAGAAACCAAAGGGTATTACTTCTACAATAAATCCGAGAACAAAGTGTTTGTTGCTCGTGATGGTTTCTTTTTGGAGAAGGAACACCTTTCCAAAATGACAAGTGGGAGGAAAATCAAACTTGAAGAAGTTCGAGAGGACGAGCAACAATGTCAACCTGATAAAAATCTAAGTGCTTTGGAAGCAGCTGAGAAGATTGGTCAGAATCAAACAGACAATGTAAATGCTCAACCCATTACCCTTCGTAGGTCGCAACGGCTAAGATCTCAACCAGACAGATACCTCGGTATTGTCTTAACCAATGATCAAGACATCCTAGTTATGGATGGCGATGAGCCAGTGACGTACAAACAAGCTATGACGAGCCCCGACTCTGCTAAATGGCAAGAAGCCATGAAATCCGAGATGGACTCCATGTTTAAAAATCAAGTCTGGGACTTGGTGAATTTGCCTGAGGGTTACACACCCATCGGTTGCAAATGGATCTTCAAACTGAAGACAAACAAAGATGGAAATGTATCAATATACAAAGCTAGACTGGTGGCAAAAGGTTGTAGACAAATCCACGGGATTGACTATGATGAAACCTTTTCACCGGTTGCAATGCTAAAGTCTGTCCGGATCATCCTAGCGATTCCTGCATATTACGATTATGAAATATGGCAGATGGATGTCAAAACCGCCTTCCTGAATGGGATTTTGGAAGAAACTGTGTATATGACACAGCCAGAAGGTTTTGTTGATCCAAGCAATGCTGGAAAGGTATGCAAGCTTAAGAAGTCTATTTATGGACTGAAGCAGGCAAGCAGAAGTTGGAATCTGCGATTTAATGAAGCCATCAACAAGTTTGGTTTTATTAAGAATCTAGATGAATCTTGTGTTTACAAGAAGGTCAGTGGGAGTGACATCGCATTCCTAGTCCTAGAGTCCGTAAAGGGCTGGTTGGGAAAGTGCTTTTCAATAAGGACTTAGGAGAGGCACAATACATATTAGGCATCAAGATCTATAGGGATAGATCTAAGAGGATGATTGGATTGAGCCAGGGTACTTACATTGATAAAGTACTGGCACAATTCAACATGGAGAATGCCAAAAGACGGCACCTACCCATATCCCATGGCGTGACTCTCAGTAAGAAACAGTGTCCACAGACACCTGTTGAGCGAGAAAGAATGGATCAAATTCCATATGCTTTGTTAATTGGGTCGATCATGTATGCCATGATATGTACCAGGCCAGATGTATCGTATGCTTTAAGCGCTATGAGCTGATACCAATCAAAACCAGGAGAGGCGCATTGGACTACGGCCAAGAACATCCTGAAGTACCTGAAAAGGAACAAGGATAAATTCCTGATTTGTGGTGGCCACAAAGACCTGGTTGTTGAAGGTTACACCAACGCTATCTTCCAGACTGACAGAGATGACTTCAAGTCACAGTCAGGGTACATATTTTGCCTAAATGGAGGAGCGTTTAGCTGGAAGAGTGCCAAGCAAAGCACCACTGCAGATTCTACAACTGAAGCCGAATACTTGGCAGCTTCAAAAGCCGCTAAGGAGGTTTTTTGGATTAGCAAGTTCGTTAGTGAACTTGGTGTTGTACCCTCCATCAAGGGTCCGATAGATCTCTACTGTGATAACAATGGAGCTATCGCTCAGGCTAGAGAGCCAAGAGAGCACCAGAAGGTCAAACATGTCCAAAGGCAATTTCACATGATAAGGGAATGGAAATCCGAAGGTGAAATCAGAATTTGTAAGATCGGAACGGATGATAATGTGGCCGATCCTTTGACTAGACCTATGCCTCAAGTGAAACACAACAAGCACATTGAGGCAATGGGAATCAAGCACATTGGAGATTGGCTATGAAATTCCTTGTACATGTGTTTTAATTAAATTGGTTGTCTTAATGTAAAACTCTATGTAGAAACCATTCATTTATGGAGTAATTAATATTTTTTTTATGCAAAATTACTATTCACTCCATTGCTATTTAATTGTGGTTTAGAATTAAATAATGACTCCATTCGATTTATGGAAATATTCAAAACAGGGTATCAAGACCATGTCTTGGATAAAGAAACACCTGTTATGTGAACATTGAATATTTAAATCGAAAATTGTCCCTAATCAAGGTCATCTAACTGATAGACGATTGATGACCGCCAGAGATTAGTGTGTAGTATGATTTACAGCACTGTTTCTTGTGCTGCAAGGACGTAATGGTCATAAATCATTTGCACAAGTGCTAGTTTAGAACTGAACTGGATAGACCTATGAGAGTACTTTAAGAGATTCAAAATTGTCATAAGTACATTTCTCTTTTTTTTGGTAATTAAGTCAATTTTATTACCAATGAAAAAGTTACAACTTACAGCAGGCAAGCTGCAACTCACCAAACTACACAAGCCAAACAAGGCATACAACCTCCAACTAAAATATTCCCTCTCCTAAAAAGAATCCACCTTCTAGGAAGAGTGCACCTTAAAGGAGGGGGAGCAAGCTTTGGGCAAGGAAGTGGCACCTCCTAGGGAGGGTACACCCCACAAGACAAAGCCAATAACAGGCCAAGAGACATACAAACCAGCAACAAGCAGAACAAGCAGACAAAACATTAGAAACTACACTAATTATAATCATAATTCTGCAAACTATATAACCACTGGCAGTGCTGCGTCTTCCATCTTCTATTTATCAGTTGTCTGCATCTTTTAGTAGTCTCTGCACAAATTACCTTGCAAACGGCTCTAGGATGAATAACAACTTTCAGCCAGAAAGCTTTGTTTCTAGAAAACCATATGTGGTACACCATTGTAGCCATTGCAGCATAGCACACTTTCCTTTTAATGGGATCCTACATTTTCCTTTCCCACTGCACCCAGGAAGTGTCTAAATCATACAGGTCTTCAGAGATACCCAGCCAAGCACTAATGCTCTGCATACACTTCCTGCTATACTCACATTGAAAGAACAGGTGCTTCCTGTCCTCAATATCATTTCCACACACCAGACAAGCATTATCCTGGTAGACACCCCAATCAGAGAGGATGCTTCTAGTCTTTAGCCTATTCTGCATAGCAAGCCAGAGAATAAAGGAATGCTTAGGGATATTGAAGCTGTTCCAAACCCAAAGGCACCAGGTAACCTATGGATGAGGACCTTGAAGCCACTTGTACACATTAGGGATGCTATATTCTTTATTCATCCAGCTTTCACTCTGAAAACCATCCTTCAGCTTGTCTTTGACTCTACATAAATTTTTCCATGCCCAACCTGCATTTTTCTTTACCTTATACTCCCACCAGTCACCATCTTTAATGTAAATAGCATGAACCCATTTTACCCATAGAGTATCTTCCTTCTTGGCAATCTTCCAGATGCACTTGCCTAGGGCTGCTGTGTTTCTAGTGCCACAGTCTCTCATGCCTAATCCACCTGCCTTCTTGGGCTTGCAGATCCAACTCCAAGAAATAGGGGGGGCCTTCCTTAAAGTAGCATCTCCTCCCCACAAGAAAGCCCTACACAACCGAGTAATTCTGTTAATAACACCAGCAGGAAGCAAAATACACTGAGACTAGTAAGTGTGAAGACTGAGCAGAACAGAATTCACCAATAAGCATCTAGTTGCATATGAGAGGTTCATGCTGGACCAGCAATGAATTCTAACTAACATCTTATCAATTAAGCCATCATAATCATTGTTTGATAAACTTCTTACATTTAAGGGAATTCCCAGGTACTTAAAGGGGGTGTAGGCCTCAACAAATCCAGACAACTTCAGACCTGTTTGACAGGCCTTGAAACAGTCCAAAAATAAATTGCAGTCTTCTCAGGACTAGCTTGAAGACCTGAGCAGTTTTCAAAGGTCTTCAAAGCTCTCACTAGTAGAGAAATAGACTTTTGATCACCATAACTAAAGAGCATCAAATCATCAGCAAAAGCCAGGTGATTCAATCTTAACGCCTTGCATCTTTAGTGGAACTTAAAGACTCTCATGTCCCCTACCTTCTTCATCAATCTAGACAGGTACTCCATAACAATAACAAACAGGAGGGGAGACATAGGATCTCCCTGTCTAATGCCTTTTTTCCCCTTAAAGAAGCCATTCATAACCCCATTAATCATAATAGAGAATGTAGGGGAAGAAATGCACTGCATAACCCAGTTAACAAACCTTGCATGAAACCTCATAGCAGTCGGCATGGATGAAATCCCAGCTTATGGAGTCATAAGCCTTCTTGAGGTCCACTTTAACAGTGCACCTAGGAGCTTTTTGCCTGTCATTATAATTCTTCAGCACATCTGACAAATCAGAATATTGTCAAGTATAGACCTTCCAGCCACAAATGCACTCTGAACATCATTGATCAAACCAGGAAGGACCTCCTTGAATCTGTTACAGAGCATCCTAGAAATGATCTTGTACAATACATTGCAGCAGGCTATGGGCCTAAATTGATTAACCTTCGAAGCATTTTCAACCTTAGGGACCATTATAAGAACAGTTGTGTTAATCTGAGCCAAAATCCTGCCCTGCTGAAAGAAATTCAAAACAGCCTTAGTGATCTCCTTCCCTACTATGTGCCATGACACTTTAAAAAATCTGCTAGAGAACCCATCAGGGCCAGGAGCCTTATTCTCATCAATACCCCAGAGAGCATTCTTCACATTAGCACTTGTAAAGGGTCTGCAGAGGTTGGTACCTTGTGTCTCATCCAAAACAGGTCCCATGGAAATGACCTCATGATGAATCTTCCTTCTCATAGGCTTAGCAGAACCTAAAAGGTCTTTATAAAACCCAATAAAAGACTCATCTATCTCATGTGGCTTCTGAGTCACAATGCCAGACTCCCCCTCTATACTACAGATACTATTGTGAACTCTTCTCCTCCTCATACAGGCATGGAAGTAAGCAGTGTTGATATCACCAGCTTTTAGCCATTGAGTCTTTACCTTCTGAAACAAGAATTTAGTCTTCCTGTTATGAGCCTCAGCAAATTTCTGTCTTGTTTCAATTTCAAAAGCAATCAATGCCTCATTTGTTGGAGCAGAATTCAACTGAGTTTGCACCTTGACCAATTTAGCTTCAAACTCTGAGTCCTCCCCCAAGATATTAGAAAAATGATCCCTATTCAAAGTTTTCAAAGCCTCCTTAACCTTCTTCAATTTTTTAACAACTATAAACATTGGAGTACCATTGACCTGAGTACCCCAACTGTCTGTAACAAGCTGCAAAAAACCAGGGTGATCAGTCCAAACATTAAAAAACTTAAAAGGTTTTTTAGTGGACCCTATATTTCCCACAAAATTTATAATATCAATTGCAATGATCCATAAGGCCCTATGGCAGGAAAGTGATGCAGGCATTGTTGAAATTTTCCAGCTAAGCATCATTAGCAAAAACCCTGTCTATTCTGGAACACACTCTTCCCTCCCCCAACTGTTTATTATTCCATGTAAAGAACAACCCATCAATTTTCACATCACAAAGTTTAGTATCTCTTATGCACTTCCTAAAATTCTCAACTTCAGTTAAGGTCACAGGAGCACCAACTCTGTCATCAAAATTCAAAGCATTATTAAAATCCCTACACACTACCTAAGGGTCACTTATTCTGTCCCCATAAGTACATTTCTCATTATAGCTATCGGAACCTGTTTCCTCAACCATGAGTATTGTGAAGTTTTCTTGTTTGAGTACTAGTCTCTTTGATGTTGCCTAACGTCTGCCGTAACTAGGGATCATAACGAGAACACTCGGGAGATTAGGTCCTCTTAGTAAGAGAAACTTACACTACAAGGATGGGAATGTCCCCATATTAACAATAGGGAATATGTCTTTGTTGTTTATAAGGCCGCTCGAAGAGCGAGACTATGAAAATCCATGGCCGTGCTCAGATGGATTTTAGAAATCATCTGCTTATTGACAGTCGAACTTGGAAATCGAGAAACACTTCTAAACGTAATAAGGATGACGATGAATCTTACCTTATAGTTCACGAAAAGACATTAAGTGACATAGGAAATGGGCTATACATTGTACGCACACTTGTCCGGAAGGACAAGTGGGAGATTGAAAGGAATGGAGTCCTTCCAACAAGTGTATTATTCTGATAGAGGGTTCAGAATTATTACATAGCTAATTCTTCAGTAAGGTCAAGTGATCGGAATGCCTAGGTGGAGGCCACTTCCGATCAGTAATATTAAGGTACAATTAATATTACAGCTTAATCTTAACTGAACCATTCGGGTCGAACCCAATCGAACAACCGATCCGAAACGACGAATTAATCCGAAGGATTCCATGAGTTGTCGAAGTTTTAGAAACACAGACGTCGGATATCGAGCCTAGGGCGTCAAAACCGAGCATCACAAAATCACAAGCAACAAGTACGAGCATAGCCGTAGCATCAAATTGGCCTAGCCATGTGAGTGCTAGGCTAGGCTAGTTCATCGCAAGCTTAGGCGCACCATGTGTGTGCTAGGCGCATCATGTGTGTGCTAGGGGCGCCATGCGTGCTGGCAGCACCATCGCAGCAGCATGCTTGCGTGTGTGCGTGCCTTCGCATGGCATAGCATCACCATCGCACAGCCCTTCGCACAAGCACATCACCATCGTAGTGTTAGGCGCTAGCGTATGTGCCTGCGTGTGTGCCTTCTCACAGCACAGCACCATCGCAGTGCTGGGCACTTGCGTATGTGCGTGTGTGTATGCCTAGGCTTATCGCCACGCACCAGCCATCCAGCATATGTGCTCTGCGCATATGTGAGTGTCGAGGCCAGCAGCTTGCGAGGCAATGCCCAGCATGCGTGGCTCGCTAGCAGCACGCATGCTGGCTGTGCGTGTGTGTGTGTGTTGGCTAGGCAGCACCACCACGCTAGCAGCGCTCAGCGCCCAGCAGCCCAGCAGCATGCTAGGGCCAGTGCATGCTAGGCCAGTGCGTGCTGGCACAGCCAGCTGGCTGGCTGCCCAGCCTTGGTGCTAGGTGCCAGCTGGCAGCCTTGGTAGCCAAGGTAGGCTGCCAGCCCAGCTGTCTAAGGTGTGGTAGTTTGAGGGTGTGGGGACCAAAAGCCTCAAGGATTCCCTTGGGGAGCAAGGTAATGGTCCTCCCAAGGGACATGGTCCTCACTTAACTCTCTTTACCCTCATGACACTTGTTGCATTGTGATTGCTTTTGATTAATTATTTAATTTAGAATTAAATAAATTAATGTGTTTTCACATGATCCCACATTGATCATGAAATGGGATTCAAGACCCATTTTCTATAAATACCCACTTGGTTGGGATTTTGAGAATAGACACTTGAGTGGAACTATATAGGCATCTCCATTGTTGAGAATACCTTAAGTTCGTAAAACTCTAAAATTTATATTTTGTTCTGGTCCCGACTAACCTTCAGGACTTAGGATGATCAAGTCGGGTTCGAGGGTACAAACCATCGGAAGCCTTGCATTTGCGAGGTTCAAGTAAGAGCTCTTTTAACGAGCGAAGCACGCGTCTAGGGTATAATTCTTTATCCCTTCTTCTTTTAATTATGCATTAATTATATTTGCATGCTTTAATTGCTTTAGTTATCGGGGCGGGTCTTGGTGGGTTTCCTTCCGCGTAGTGAGGGTCAGTACGAAACCCTACAAAAACATTTGGTGAATGGAGGGAAACGTGGGTGAAGGAGGGAGTATACCCCACTGCGCTTCTAGGGTCTTCCAAAGAAGCCTCTGATTCCACGACCAGTACGTTGGTGAGTCTTGCCGGCGATTTCATTTGCTCTCTGCATTCGCGTGAAAAGAAAACCGGAAAATGGGTCATCTAGGCTCCGGAAACCAAAGAAATGGCAGATAAACTCGTAAGCAACTATGAACTAACTTTATGAAGCTTTAGCATAAATATCACTTTACAAAAACATTTACTATATTCATGTTGCCTTTTTGGTTTTGCTACAGCTTGAGTACACTGAAGAACTGGTTAAAGGCAAGCTCGTCCCAACAGTAGAGAAGGACCCTTTCACCTTGGCTTTAGGAAAGCCCTACCATCCAGGACGGGTATTAGGTGCGGGAAGGACCTTGCTAGGATGGGAAAAGGTAATGGGTCTAGAATATACCAAATCAGGAAGATCCCGAGCAAGTGTGAACTCACTGGTTGACTTGGATGCCACGGTGGCATCAATTGAGGAACAAGTGCGCAACGAGATGCGAGAAGAATTCAATGCTTGGGCGAAGCAACTGAATTTGTCGGGCTTGCCTTTCCCCTCGACTACACCGGTCGACTCATGTAGTCACCCATAAGGACAAGGAGAAGATGAGATACATGGAGACGATGATGAGGTAGTTTCATATCTATTAGTTTTGGCATATTGAGTTACGTGAGATCTAACGTGGCATTATTAACTTACTATTTCAGGTTCGTACTCCTACACATGCGGACTCGAGGGAGCTTCATACTCCAACATCGGTTCACTTTCCAGAGTTACAGGTAATTTGTTCAGTTCTTTGTAAATTTCTGTTGTGCTTGCTGTTTCTGTGTTAGTTAGCTGCGCGCTGTTTCTGTGTTGCTGTGCTGCTTGCTGTTTCTGTGTTTCTGTGTTGCTGTGCTAGCTGTTTGCTGTTATGCTGTTTCTGTTGTTGTTTCTGTGTCTGCTGTCTGTTTCTATCGCTGTTTCTGTGTATTTTGTTCTGTTTCTGCGTCTGCTATGAGCTGTGAGCTGTGTCTGCTGTGATCTGCTATGAGTTGTGAGCTGTGATCTGCTGTGAGCTGTGAGCTGCTGTGAGCTGATCTGCCTACTGTGATCTGCTGTGAGCTGATCTGCCTGCTGTGATCTGCTTTGATGTGCTGTGAGCTGTGAGCTGTGATTCGCTGTGAGCTATGATCTGCTGTGAGCTGGCTGCTTTTGATCTGCTGATGTGTAGCATTTATGCCACCTTTTTACCCTATTTTAATAGAGATTTCCCCCGGATTTGTCACTTGTTTACGCCTCTTTTCACCCCTTTTACTTCGTTTCTAGTCACTTTAGCTCCCTCTCATGTTTTCCCTTCCCTTTTTGTCTTTTCTTTTAGTTTTTAACTCCTTTTTGTGTGTTTTGATAGCTCCTAGCGCTTGTGTGCGAATCATGAATTGGTAGCTCGAGTAGAGAAGCTAAAGGAGCTTGCCAAGGAAGTGGAGATGCCAAAATGGAGAGGGCGCGTTGTTAAGAATGGTCGCGGGCGCGGGCTTGGAAGCTGCGGGCGCGGACAAGGAGGTCCTGATACAAGCTAAAGAATGTGGAGATGGCGAGCCGCGGGCGCGGCAAAGAAGACCCACGGGTGCGGCATTTTCCTCCGCGGGCGCGGCAATTTGGGTCTGACGAACTTAATACCCAGTTTGGAGAGGGCGCGACAGCCGGTTCGGAGAGCCCTCTCCCTTGCCCTTTTTCTTCTTTTTGGAAGAAGACTATAAATAGTCTTTAGCTTGAGTTTTTGGATATTCACTATTCCATTGGCTTCAAAACATTTGTAGGGAGAGAAAATCCATGTCTTTTAGAGAGATAAAACATTAGCTTTCAAGAATCAATCTTTGTAATCAAATATTCAAGCTTTCCTCTAGATTATTGCTACTACTTTGGTGATTTGGTAATCTTTCAACATTATAATATCAATCTTTACTTTTGTTTCTCTAGTTTTTGATTTACTTGGTTTTATTGTTCTTACTTGAGTTTTCCTTCATAAATATTCAAGCTTTATTGGTTTCTTTGATTTTCTCCTTGACTTAAAATCATGCTAGGTTATATTAGGATTGAATACTTGTTTAGCTTGGTTGTCATGGCTATTTTCCTTTCTCTAGCTTAGATTTTTAGCTAGGGAAGGGGGTGAAAATCATGTTTATTTAAGTTTCTATTGATTATTGATTGGAAAATACCTTGAGTTGATGATTTGTGCTTAATATGCTTGGAGTTATTGTGTGCACCTATAACCCCAATGTTTTAGTCCTAGATTAGATGCATGAGAATGATCTAGTTTAGGGTCGATTGATTTCATCAACTTGCTTTGAGTAGTTGCATGAGAATGAATTGCATTGAGTAGAGTTTGAACTCCTTGGTATGTTTCCTTATTGATTCTCATTAGTATCTTGTCGGTCATGATTGGAACCCCCTCTCCCTAGTGCTTTTGCCGTTGTTATCTCTCTTATCTAGTCCATTTACTTGCATTTAAGAGTGTTTAATCTATTCCCATCGTTTTTAGTTTATTCTAGGCTCAATAGTAGATGGTTTGTCCATAGGATTCTTCAAACACAAATCTCAATACCTCTTTTTGTTACTAGCAATTTATCCTAGATATCGTATTAATTGTGCTTAAACCCCGTTTCCTTGGGAATCGACCCTACCTTACCACTAGATAAAGTAGAATTGATAGAGTTAGGATAGGAGATATAAATTGTAATTTTGATCTAGGATAGTAAACTAACGACTTATTTTCCACCGATCAAAATTTTGGCGCCGTAGCCGGGGAGGCGGCTAGTTTTGCACATTTAATTTGCATTATTATTGGATTTGTTGCTTTTTACTTCATTCTTTTTCCACTTGCTAGTCATTGCTAATAGTTTGCTTAGCTTTGGTGGATGCAAAGAAGATCTCAAGGACCAGCTACTCACAACATCGATCACGAAATCGACCGCACCTTGAGACAAGTCCGTCGACTTTATCAAGAAGAGGGGCGAGGTTTTGGTGCTATTTTTGATAGTGAGAGTGGTTCTTGTTTGTCACATTCTCAAGGAAACTAAATGGCGGGACAACAAGTGGATGTTTTATTTCGTGAGTTCGGTAATCCAGAGGATTATGAGCTCATCAGTGGGATATTGCTACCCGTCACGGAAACTAACTTCACCATCCATCCTCAATACACTCGAATGGTTCAAGCGGAGCAATTCTCGGGTTCTCCAAGCGAAGACCCCATTGAGCATCTAGATAGATTTCTTGAACTTTGTGCCATGATACAAACCAACCAAGTTTCTCAAGAATACATTCGGATGCATCTATTCCAAAAATCTCTTGAGGGGAGAGCAAAGAAGTGGCTCAAGAAAGTCAAGCCTAATTCTCTCACAACATGGAGGGAAATTGTCTAAGCATTCTTGAAAAGGTTCATTTCCAAAGAGAAGACCGTCGAGATGAGGAGGAAGATTGCATCATTTGAACAAGGGGCAGATGAAAGCCTTAGTGAATCTTGGGAGAGGTTCAAAGAGTTGGTGCAAGCATGTCCTCACCATGAATACAACCAAAGCTTACTCATGAGGTTCTTCTATGATGGCTTGGAGCCGATGTCTAAAGCTAACTTGGATGCGGGGGCGGGTGGACAATTAATCAAAGTCCCACAAAATCAAGTTGAAGCAATAATTGAAGAGGTAGTGAAGAACTACTCTTGGGGTGGTAAAAGGAGGAATGCACCGAAGAAAGGTGGGAAGTACGAGTTGGAGAAAGTTGATCAATTGCAACATCAAATTGAGCTTTTGACAAAAGGGCTTGCAAAGTTGAATACTATTGTCAATAGTGGGGCGAGCTCCTCCCAAGTAAACTCTTTCTCTTGTCAAAATTGTGGCGGCACTAACCACGATACATCTTATTGTGGAGGTTTGAGCCCGGAGCATGTAGCGGCTTATAACATAAGGCAAGACATATATAGGGGAGGTGGCGGTGGAGTAGCTTGGAGACAACCACCACCCGGATTTGCAACTTAACCTCAACAATGGAATCAACAAGCTCAACAACCATACAACTCCAACCCCCAATATCAAAACCCACCTCCATTCCAAACCCAAAATCAAAGAGGAAACTACCGAAGAAACAACCAACACAATAATCAACACCAATACCACAACCAAAATAAATCGACTCAAAGGAGTCAAGAGCAAGCATCACAACCCGATTCTACTCAAACCTAAATTCTTCAACAACTTCAAGCCATGAATCAACAAATGCAAGAGGTCAAGGCTCACAACAAGATGGTTGATTCACAACTAGCTCAATTGGCTGAGAGAGTTCCTTTCAACTCATCTTCTACTTTACCCGGACAATCACAAACCAACCCTTCTAACATCGTGAAACCCGACTCTTGCAAGGCAATCACATTAAGATCGGGCACATCCTATGAAGGTCCCAAAGAGGGGGATGGCAAAGAAAAGAAGGAAGGAGAAGAGAGGGTGAGTGAAGATAAAGAAGTTGAAGAAGAGAAGGTTGATGAGAAAGAGAGAAGTATGGAGAAAAATAAGTCTAAGGATGTGGTGACATCCTAAACTTCTAGTGAGACTAGAAATCTTGATGGACCGGTTCCTTTTCCCAGTCAACTTGCGGAGAGAAAATTGAATGACAAATTCGCAAAGTTCTTAAGTGTGATGAAGAACTTATACATTAACCTCCCTTTCATTGAGGTAGTCACACAAATGCCTTCATACTCCAAGTTCTTGAAAGACATTCTCACCAACAAGAGGAAGCTTAATGATGAGCTTATCACTCTTCCCCATCAAGTGAGTGCGCTTGTTCAACACAAAATGCCCAAGAAGCAAAAGGATCCGGGAAGTTTCACTCTACCGGTTAAGGTTGGGAACATGGAAGCTAGGGGTGCCTTAGCCGATCTTGGAGCAAGTGTTAGTTTGATCCCTCTATCCATTGCTCAAAAGCTTAACATTGAGATGATCCCCACAAGTAAAACCATTCAATTTGGCCGACCGTTCGGTGAAGCTACCTTGTGGTAAGCTTGAAGATGTCCCTATTCAAGTTGGACATATCTATGTGCCTTGTAACTTTGTAGTGATGGATATGGAAAAAGATGTGGATACACCCTTGATTTTGGGTCGTTAAGCTCTTAAGACCTTGGGGGCGGTGATCAATTGCAAGAACAATACCATTACATGTGAGGTAGCCGATGAAAAAATTGTCTTTGAATTCTCTAAGCTACTCAAGACCCCCATGGTTGAGAAGTGCTATAGGGTAGATGTTGTGAATGAAGAACTAGATCGTTTGGGAAGGGTTATGATGAGTCCTCAAGACCCAATGGCTGAAGCTCTCACATGTGAGGAAGAGTACTTCTCTCAAGAAGCAAGGGAGTTTGTCATGGCCATTGACGAAGCCAAAGAGGAGGAAGTGAATGATCTTAAGCATGATGAGCTAGAACTTGAGGAGGAAAAATTGGAGGAGAGTTCTAAGCCTCCTCCCAAGGTAGAACTCAAACCCCTTCCCCCTTCTTTGAAATATGCTTATCTTGGAAGTGAAGGGGAATACCCTATTATTGTCAATGCTTCCCTTGATGGTCTTGATTTGGAAAAATTACTTGTTGTTTTGAGAAAATATAGAAATGTGATAGGGTATAGCATTGATGATATCAAGGGTATTAGCCCTTCTTTATGCATGCATCGTATCCACCTTGAGGATGATCAATCCACCTCTATTGAACCTCAAAGGAGGTTAAACCCAAACCTCTAAGAGGATGTCAAGAAAGAAATTTTGAAATTGCGTGAAGCGGGTAAAATATATGCTATCTCCGATAGCAAGTGGGTTAGCCCGGTTCACGTGGTCCCAAAAAAGGGTGGAATGACCATTGTCAAGGGAGAAGGAGGAGAGGAAATCTCCACCCGGACGGTGACCGGGTGGAGGATGTGCATTGATTATAGGAAGTTGAACAAAAAAACTAAGAAAGATCATTTTCCTCTCCCCTTCATGGACCAAATGTTAGAGAGACTCTCCCATCATGCTTTCTTTTGCTTCTTGGATGGATATTCCGGCTTTTTCCAAATTCCTATCCATAAAAGTGACCAAGAGAAAACTACTTTTACGTGTCCATATGGGACATTTGCATACCGAAGAATGCCATTCGGGCTTGCAATGCTCCCTCAACCTTCCAACGATGCATGACCTCCATTTTTCTGAAATGCTTGAGAATGAGATTGAAGTTTTTATGGATGATTTTAGTGTTGGTGGCTCGTCTTTTGACACATGCCTTATTAACCTTGAAAAAGTTTTGAAAAGGTGTCAAGAGACGAGTTTAGTGTTGAATTGGTTAAAAATGCCATTTTATGGTCGAGGAAGGCATAGTCCTAGGCCATAAAGTATCAAAAAAAGGGCATAGAAGTTGATTCGGCAAAGGTTTCGGTGATTGCCAAGTTGCCCCCTCCTACTTCCGTTACGGGAGTAAGAGCCTTTTTAGGGCATACCGGTTTTTACCGGATATTTATCAAAAAAAATTCATCAATCGCCAAGCCTTTGACCGAATTGCTCAAAAAGGATGTTGTATTTAGCTTTGATGAAGCTTGCCTTGAGGCGTTTTAAAAACTCAAGGAAGCCCTCATCTCCTCTCCCGTTGTGAAAGCTCCGGATTAGAGCTTGCCATTTGAACTAATGTGCAATGCTAGTGATCTTGCAGTTGTGCCGTACTTGGACAAAAGAAAGAAGGAAGATCTTGTGTCATCTACTATGCAAGTAGAACGCTTGACGAAGCTCAAAGGAATTATACCATAACTGAAAAGGAAATGCTAGCGGTTATCTTTGCCATGGATATTTATATCCTACCTTATATGCTCCAAAGTGATCGTGTACACGGATCACGTAGCGGTTCGTTATCTCATGACCAAAAAGGAAGCAAAACCGCGTATTATCCGTTGGGTTCTTTCGCTACAAGATTTTGATATTGAGATGAGGGATAAAAAGGGAGCGGAGAACTATGTAGCGGATCACTTTTCTAGGCTTCCTTTTGAGAATAAGGAAGATGTTCCTATCAATGATGAGGTGGGATTTAAAACCCTCATGGTTATTGCTTCAACATCTAGCCCTTGGTACGCGGTTATAGCCAACTACCTAGCATGTGGAGTTGTTCCCCCGGAGTTCTCCTCTCAACAAAAGAAGAGATTTTTCAAGGAAGTGAGGAGGTATTTTTGGAATGACCCTTATTTATTCAAGCAATGTGGAGATGGTCTTTTTCGGAAATGTGTTCCGGATCATGAGATAGAAGGAGTTCTTGAACATTGCCACTCATTGCCATGTGGAGGGCATGGAGGAGTTGAAAAGACCGTGGCAAAGATCTCCCTATCTCTTCTTTGGTGGCCAACAATGCATAAAGATGCCCATAAGTTCGTTTCAAGGTGTGACAAATGCCAAAGAAGTGGGGGTATAACCAAAAGGGATGAAATGCCTCAACAAAACATTTTGGAAGTGCAGCCGTTCGATGTTTGGGGTGTCGACTTCATGGGGCCTTTTGTTTCTTCTTGTGGGAATCTTTATATCTTCGTGGCGGTGGATTATGTAACCAAATTGATTGAAGCTATACCCTCCCCCACCAACGACCACAAGGTTGTGCTCAAGCTTCTCAAAAAAGTCATATTTCCACGGTTTGGGGTACCTAGAGTGCTAATTAGCGATGGTGGTTCTCATTTTGCCAAGAAGCAATTCGAAGCTCTCCTCAAAAGGTATGGGGTTCATCACAAGCTTGGTCTCCCTTACTGTCTCTCAAGCTCGATGACACGCTTTGGGCTCTAAGGACGGCTTACAAAACCCCCATTGGCACGACCCCTTACCGGTTGGTCTATGGGAAGGCTTGTCATTTGCCGGTTGAGTTAGAATATAAGGCTTGGTGGGCGATCAAAGAGCTTAACATGGACATGTCCTTGGCGGGTGAGAAAAGATTTCTTAAGCTCAATGAACTTGAGGAGCTCCGGTTTAATGTTTATGAGAGCTCGAGGCTCTACAAGGAGAGGACTAAGAGATGGCACGACCGACATATAAGGAACAAGAGCTTCAAGGTTGGAGACAAGGTGTTGTTGTTCAACTCTAGGCTTCGGTTGTTTCCCGGAAAACTAAAATCCAAGTGGTCTGGGCCTTTCACAATTTCGAGGACTACTCCTTACGGGTCTTTTGAGTTGGAGGCGGAGGGGAACAAGTTCATGGTCAATGGCCACCGTTTGAAGCTCTACCATTGCAATGATCAAGTTGGCATAATTGAGTGCATGAGGCTCGATCCACCGGATCCTAAGCCACTTGCTTGATGATGACATGTTATGGTCAAGCTAATGACCTTATAAAGAAGCGCTTCTTGGGAGGCAACCCGAGTTCTCAACTCTTTTGATTTTGTGTTTCTTGTGTTTGATTATTTTTGGATGATTTTTCTTTAATCTCTTATTGTATGTGTGTTTGTTCTTCCATTAGGTACTTGGATCTTTGGGATTTTGATCTATTAAGTTGAGTTTGGAAAGGAGAAGGAGAATGGAAGAATTGAAAGTGGAGATGCTAGGAGAAACACTGGAAAGGGCGCGCACAGAAGACCCGCGGGCGCGACCAATAGGCCCGCGGGCGCAGAGTAAGGGTTATTCAGGATTTTAAGGAAAGTGGAGATGCCTGAGAGATGCCCGAGAGAGGGCGCGGAAAGGAACCCCGCGGGCGCGACATATACCCCTGCGGGCGCGGACAGGCAACTCCGCGGGCGCGGCAAACAGCAGTTCAGAATATCAGAAAGTTGGAATGCCCAACCCGCGGGCGCGGCCCTAAAGAACTGCGAGTTCTTCGCTAATTCTCAGCCATATGCCCGAGATGCATTTCACCCCAAATCAGTTTTTTTTCCTCTATCTCTCTCTATTCCTCACTCCATTCCAAGCCCTAACCTATTCTTCATCAAATTCCTCCCCAAAATCATCAAAATCCATCAAATTGCATCACTTTACTTGCAATTTCTCAACAAAAATATGAATTTTCACCATCAAAACACCCCAACATTTCGGTACTACTTCTTGTGTAGGATTTGGTTCCACCATTGAAGGGTTCTTGGAGGTGGGCTTTTCTTCTTCTTCAAAGGCTAGTAGGAGTACTCATTTGAACTCATTGTTGGTATAAATTTCTCTTCTACTCTTTATTTCCTTTGAATTTGAAGTATATGCTTGTTTGAGAAAATTTTATGTTTGTGATTTTGCATGTTGAAATTCTTGATGGTTGTACTCCTATTTTATACTCATTTATCATCTTAACCATTATTGATTTTTGAGTTGTTGTTTGTGATAGTTGTCTCCCCATATAGATTTCTTTGTTGTGAGTTATTCTTGGTAATTACTTGGAGGTGTTCTTTGTGGTGTTTGGTTGGATTTGAAAGTTGTTGCGGTTGATTTTGGTGTGGCTTGTTGAGGAGAATTTCTTGGTATTAGTATATTTGTGTGGTAAAAATGGTGTTTGGTTCAAAGAAAAGAAAGAGTGGGAAGGAACTTCAAGGTTCGTCATCCTCAAACCCCCAACAAAATGAACAAACACAAACCGCTCCACCACCTCTACCACCCCTCAAATTCCACAATAAAATCCATAAACCCATCTACAACAACCTCCAAAACAAGAAATTGAGACCAACCAAACACTACCACCAACCCACCACCACCAAGCTTGGCATCGACGAGGATTGTTGGTTCTTGTTCAACAATCTCGGACTAGGGTCTTTTGTGACTAGTGCATATCGAACCTACAAAGAGCCTACCCTTGAGTTTCTTGCCTCATTCGAATGCCATGCAGCAGGGGATAATGATCTCTCCATCTCCTTCCAACTCTTTAACAAAAAAGAAACCTTCACCCTCCGCCAGTTCAACCAATTACTGGACTTAAATCCAGATGCCGATATCTTCTTACCCGAGCATGCAGGCCTCCATGCTTACGAGCCCCTTCACTGGTGGAAATTCATCTCAAGGATGGACGCCTTCAACTCCAAGTATTCCTTGGCCAGCCAAATCATGCACCCAGCCATCAGACATCTGCATCGAATTCTTGGGTACATGGTCTTAAATAAGCAAGACTTGGGGAAGATTACCACCGACAAAATCCGAATTCTATGGCTTGCTACGTAGCCAGAGATTGGGCATAGAATGAACTTCGGGTTTCTTTTCACTAAGTGCATTGAAGGTGTCCTCTCGGGAACAAGGAAGGGGGAAATCCACTTTGGAGGGATGGTCATTCGGATAGCCGAGAAGTTGGGGCATTTGGCTAAGCTGGAATCTTGCACCTCCGTGGGGAAGAGTGATTGGAGCGATATTTGGCTCGACCTCGATCAACTAAAAACTATGAAATTCATCGCGGATATCGCGGATCGAGGAAGGACTTGGAGCTTACTTGTCTCCCATGAACATCATTGTTTCCTTCCCAAGCCGGAATTCACTTCCTTCACGAGGGAAGGAGTAAATTACCCATGGTGGGTAAAGAAGGACTCGGGTGTCCTTCCTAGTGCAAGAATGGTTATGGGTGAAAGGTCCGGTCAAAGCCATGAAAGTGTGGAGGATGAGTTCGAACAACAATAGCAACAGCAACAACAACAGCAAGGAAGAAGGCAACAACAACAACATCATCAACCCGACTACCAACAACAAATGGAGGCGATGAGAGCCCAAATGGAAAGCATGCAACTTGGCATGCAAGGTATGTTTGCTTCCCACCAACACCTTTCTTACCAAACCAACTCTTTGTATGATTTGAGTGTACGTAGAGGGGATGTCACCTCCCCGGTCAACTACCTATATGTGCCGGCCCAACAAGGGCCCGTGCCATCTTGGGGGGGTGACAACCAACCTACGTACCCCTATTGGCAGGGGCCCTCGGACCCTAATGTGCCTAGGCGTGATTTCCCTGATGAGTCCGGTCATTATGATTATCGGGTTTTGGGTGGGAGTGATTACAGGGGTGATCCTAACTACCCCTATGTTGATCCCTCTCACCCCGCACCCTTTGTCCAACCCGAGCCATATGACCATTTATCCGCATCCCAACTTGACCTCTTTAAAGGTCATTATGGGTGGCCACCTGGCTACTCCGGAGGTTGGTGATTAGGGGATTTTTCCCTACCAATCACCATCTGACAAGTGGACCATTCAGGCTCTGCCAAGTGTCTGCCACATGGACCAATAGAAGCCTGCCACGTGTCATACGGTGATCTGTCCACCATGGACCAATCGTGTCACGCCACGTGGCCTCCGTATGCCAGAAAGGCCAAACAGCCACCTAGGCCCAGTTTCCGAGGGAAGCCTAGACAACCCTAGGTTAATCTAAACCTAGTATTTGACACGTTTCCCAAGGTTATAAATACTCCACTTAATCCTCATTAAAAGGGAATCATCAATTAATTACTCTCACCTAGAGAAAACCTTTACTTTTTTCCGCATTTATTACTCCTAAAACAATTACTAACTTGACCGTTGGAGGCGGAGCTCCCACCACCCGGAGTCTCCGTTGTTTTGCAGGTACAGGCGCACGGTTCCAGTCTTGGAATCGTAACTCTCCCGCAGGACATCAGAAAACCCCGAAACATTTTGGCGCCGTCTGTGGGGTGGGTACTTTCGAGATGGAGTCACAATCTGTACCGACTTAGAGCGAGAGGCGTCCTACGAACGACCCTCAGGTTTATAGTGACCAGGATACTGAAAATGAGATTGAGGTTGAGACTCATACGGCCCCAGACGGGACCTTACGAGCTCAACGCACCCGTCACACCGAGAGGAAAGAACGGGTAGATTCCCAAGCTGGACCCAGCAATCCAGCCGGCCCACCGCCTGAGCAACAACAGGTGGCTGAAGGATCCGCTCCCATTACAAGGAACGAACTCATGACTTTCATGAGGGGATTTAAGGGAGAGTTCCAAGAGTTGATTAATAAGAAGACGCCTACTCCCTCCAAGGAGCAGTTGGCTGGAAAACCTTCTCAGTCTGGAAGAAGGAAACCTGTACAAGGTCGAGAGGCGACTCCTCACCCTAACTCTAGGAAGTGGGAGCCGCCTGTGATTGACTTAACAAAGTACCGCTTTCCTTCACCAGGGAAGAGAAAGCCCATTCGTCATGTACAAGCGGATGGGTCAAAGAAAACTTATTCAAATGCTCGACTGTTGCTAGAGCAGAAGAAGAATGACCGATTGTCAGAGTCGGCCTCTACTTCAGATTTTCAAAATAGTTTTCATAATACCTCCATGAGGTATACTCAATCAAATTATGAGAGTCAGACAGGCGGTACCTCCCGTGGGTCCGGAACTCATAAAGATCAGTCGGTACCGAATGTACCATACGTAACGCAACAACAATACTTCTTGCAGCCCCCTTTGTTTTGGAGGGCAGGCGGCAAGAAATGTCCAACCATTGGACTGGCAGCTATGGTTGCTCAGACTTGGAGAACAACCGTCCACCTTCTCTAAGGAAATTATTGAGGCCGCCCAGCCGGCCAAAGTGAAAAATGTCTTAGTAGGCGCCTATGATGGCACTACTAATCCAGAAGATCATTTAATGGCGTTCACCAACCTAATGTACCTCCAAGGGTTGGATGATCCCACTTGGTGCAAGTGCTTCCCAGCCACTCTCAAGGGAATTTCACAACAATGGTTCGGCAACCTGCCGACTGGTTGTGTGAATAACTTCAAAACACTTGCCTACTTGTTCACCTCCAATTTTTCTATAAACATCCCTGCTAAGAAGACGACCCTTGACTTGGGCACCATTCAGCAGGGAGAGAAGGAGGGACTTCGTTCCTACATCAGGCGGTTTAACCTGATGAGAATTCAAGTACAAGGGCTGCCGGATGAGGTAGCCTACACTGACTTTTTCAGAGGTCTTAAGGATGGGTCGGCCTTCAAGTTAGACTTGTTCCGAAAGAGGGTTGCCACTCTCCAAGAAGCATTGATCGAAGTTGAAGCCTATATACAGGCGACTGATCTCTGTAACACTGGAAAACAGTCGGATGGAAGGACGTCTGACAAAAAAGAGAGCCGACAAAAGCAGTCGGCAAATAAAGATGAGAAAAAGAGGAAAGAAGTCTGGGCGGCCGACTCTTTTGGACATCCAGCCCAAAAAAAGAAGAAAGAATTTAAACCATACTCTCCCAAGTATGCATTCAACAAGGATAGCCAAGCTATCCTCAAAGAAATCAAGAGCCGGATCTCAATCCAGAAGCCGACCCCCATGAAGGGTTCTATAAGCAATCGGAACCAGGATAAATTCTGTCATTTTCATGAAGATGTTGGTCATGAAACCAATGAATGTATCAG